ACCGGACAGGGAAAGAGGAGTCAGGAGTTACGCACGAGCGACTGAACCCAGCGCAACACTTCACGCGTCAATGTCTGCTCTGCAATCGCTACGTCCGACGACATGGCCATACCGCGTTACAGCAAACCGCTGTAAAAACAGATATAAACTGACAAAAGATTTAGCACCAAGCGTGAGAAATTGCATTTACGGCAGTACAATATGTTTCCGGTAACGAGTTAGTGAGTTTAGACCACCTATCATCATCCAGCTAAATAAAAACTGCTGGTTGTGGTGGTCCTCTCCCAGCTCGCCGCTTCCCCGGGGTCCGGGGTGGCGCGGCTTATATTTTTTGGGTCATATGGTTTCTACTGACATCCAGGGGTTGGGATTGAGTGGTGAATTGCTGAGGCATTTGAAGCTGGAGGTCTGTGTCAGGTCTGTGATATGGCTATGGGTATGTTGTCAGGCGGCGCCGTCCCGTCTGCGCCTATCCATGGAGACATACTCCTGACTTTGATGTTTGAATTACTACCATATGATAATTATAGATACAAGCCAACTGCACTGCCAACTTCAAGCGGGGCTAGGCAGGTCACCTTAGCCAAAATTTTATCCCGCCACACTAGTAGGCCAGGGGCACTGCCATTTCCCCTCAAGGCCAAATTACACTTCAAGCCCCTTTACGATGGTAAAATGCTCTAATGCTTTTTAAAAGGCAAAAAGTTGAACGGCAACACAGNNCAACTTGCCCCAGCCCCGAGACCTGTGGAGCGAGCCGGGCTGATCTTCGATCACAGACCTCAGAGCAGACGGCCTCAACGGACCAGGGGGCTGCGCTTGCCCTTAGCGGCGGTGTTGAGGTCCTTGTTGAAGTGCGGGGTAGCGAAGTGCGAAGTGTTACAAACACTAACTAGATCTCACGAAACACTCGTAGACGCTTTCGTCAGCAAGGCCGAAAACAACCATAGGGCTGGGCGCGCCCGTAGAAGTATTTATTTATTATTTGTGGCCGCCGGCCGTAGTATGTCATAGAGGTCCTCCGTCGACCACGCGCGCGCGGGTCGACCGCCGAACTGAAATGTTGGCAAAATCGTTGAATTACCGCCCCCGCCAGGCGCGTGCATTGAGTTGGCGCGCTAATCGTATCATTTGAGACACTTTCAGGGTGTGGGGTCGCCGGTTCGGGTTGGGAGTCGCAATTAAATGTTCAACGAAACGAATACTTGAAGGGAAGTATCCTTGGGTTATTCGTTTTCAGAGTTTGTTTTCGGCCTTGTTCGTCAGCGCGACGGAACAGTTGCTGGTTCGATATTTGGTGGTAATTCTCATTTTTTTCGCCTTTTTTTGGCCGTTGAAACACTTGCCAACACTTGCCTCTCCCCCCTAAACACTTACACTTTGTGCTCCAAAATACTTCACTGGAACTTTGCTACCCTCCCCGTTGAAGTGCAAGGTTGGAGCCTAACTTGAAGGAAGCCGCGGCGGCGTTTAACATATCCCGCCGGCGGGATGTGTTATTACAGCGCGTGGTTAACGCGTGCTTGAGCGCCAAGCGGAGAACTCGCGACGTCCTTGACAAGACAACAGAGCCCGAGTTCCACACCGGCAGCAGAGGGTCCCACTCAGGCACCTGCGGGTGGCATCGTGGCGCGCCGACCTAGCGGACGAGGACGAGGTCGTCGATCTTGAGGATCATGCAGATGCACTCGGTCGCGAGGCCGAGCGCGGAGGTGTTGACGAGCAGGGGCTGGACGACGGCGCGCGCGCGCATGCGGCCGATGGCGCCGCGCTTGACGTCGATGCCCGCGTCGGCCTCGCCGCCGCGGTGGCGCTTGCGCAGGCTCCTGGGCAGCACACGGGTGATTCAACGTCGCTTCAACGTGGGCGTTCCGCGCGCGCGCGTTCCGGAAAAAGCGTCCGCGCTTCGACGCCGTTCCGAGAGATGATCGCTCGTCCAAAAATCAGCCGAAACGAGTGGAAAACGGCCGAGAAAGGAGCCTTTGAAGTTGGGAATGTCGCTCTCTTGTGCTGCCCTGGCAGGCTCGTGACGACGTCGATGGGATTCAGGCCGGCGTTCTCCGCGAGCGTGTAGGGCACGACCTCGAGCGCGTCCGCGAACGCCCGGAGGCAGAAGCCGACGGGCCCGGGCTCGCGCGCCGCGGCGTCCGCGAGCCCGAGCGACGCCTCGACCTCCGCGGAGCCGCCGCCGGCGACGAGGAACTTCTCCTTGACGAGCGACCGGACGACGCAGAGCGCGTCGTGGAGCGACCGGTCGGCCTCCTCGAGGACGAGCTTGTTCGAGCCCCTCACCTGCGCGGCGCGCGGGCGGGCGCGGTCCCTCCCCCCCCCCCC